CCCCGGTTTACATCAGGCGCAGATTCAGCGGCGGAGCGACCCTTTGGCGGCGGTGGCGGCTGGCGGCGGGGGTTGGATGGCGGAGCCCTGCAGGCCCAGATCTGGGCCCTTTTAGGCCCGATCTGGGTCAGGGCGGGTTGGTCTGGCCTCCGGCGGGTCTCCTCCGGCTGGGCTGGCGGGATGAGGTCGTTGGGACCGGCAGCTTTGCGCTGCGTCGGCTGCAGCGTGGCTGCAGGAGCTTAACGGGCCCGATCTGGGCCCGGGTGGGCAGGGGGTCCGGCGTGCTCCCGCGCCTGCGTCCGGTCTGCTACGGCTTGTGCCGTGGAGGTTGTCCCCTCCCACGTGGCTGTGGTGCTCCTGGTCCCTATCGGCGGTGGTCTCGTTTGGTTCGGCCAGCCTCGCAGTGTCTGCGGTGGAAAGACGACGGTGGTGTCCTCGTGACTGTGGTGGCGCAGGTTGGTGGGCGGTTGGCGTGGTGGAGCCGCCGGTTGGTCCTGGGTTGTGGGTATGAGGGGTAGGGCGAAATCCCTCTCGGGTCCGCCCGGCACCAACGTGGTGACGCCTGCGGGCACGATCAACCTTCTTGAAGGGCGTCGGGAGTACCTCTCGCCCGCTTCCCTCCGTGTACCGGGAGAAATCCTAGGATTCGTCCGGGCAGCAGCGTCGTTGTCGTCGCAGTCCTTCTTAAAGGTGTTGCTTGGTTCGCGGCGACTCGATGGCATTGGAGCGTGGTGGATATCTCTAGTGGGCGCAGCGGTTGCGGGATACTTCAGCTTTCGTTCATCCGGTGCTGCCGGCATTTCTTTCTCTTGCTTTTCTCTTGTTTTTCTTTTGGGCATGCTTGTGATGTTTGCCCCAGCATCGAACTTCTGGCTGTATCGGATGGTTGCTAAATTAATATAGCGGGGCGCAAGCCTTTTTCGGTAAAATTTGTTATTTGTTTCCTAAGACAAATTGGACCAATAAAAGGAATCGATTGATATGAATAATTTAAGGAAGTTAGATCCGTGATTTGTTATACGTTAGGAAAGTCCTAGTTGTAATAAAGAGTGGAGAAAAAAATAAACCGATGAACCAGAATGAGAGGGGGTGGTGGGAGGAGAGACGAAAAATCCCAGCAAAAATAAACCCTGAAGACTATTCACCAACTACTTCATTAGGAGTAGAGATGGGAAATCAACTTAGTGTTTCGCTCCACCCAATCTTCCAAATGTGCCAAACAGAAGTCATTATCTTTTTTTTGCGAGAAAACAGAAGTCATTATCGTCATTGTTTAATATTCCCTCCATTCCGTTTTATAGTGCGTATAGTTTTCAGCGGCAATACCAATGAGTGAGCTGGCACATGTACTTGGGTCTAATATACCCCTCCACTAACTCTGTCCAGCCCCATGTGCGCATCACCTCAGCCACGCGTAATCCCGCCACGGAGAGAAATTGGAGGGAAAGTTCAGCGCATTCCCGCGTCCACGTCTGCGTGGCCAGCCCCACCCACGCCCGCTCAGCCTTTTCAAATTTGAATCAACTCTCCAGGACGGGACCAAGAGTGTACTAGTACACCATTTTTCTCTCCCCATCTCATTTCTCTCTAGTTCTTCACCCTGCAATGGCAGGGTTAGATTTAAACAACCAGATCAACTGGGAGAAGACTACGGCGGTCTTGCTGGAGAGCTAGACTACGATCTGGAGCTGATCGTCACGGATGAAGGTACGTCCTCTCTCCCTGCCGAGGTTCACATTTTTGTTGGTGCTCTCGTCTTCTTGCTGATCATTTGCTCACCACCTTGGTTTGTTGATTTATTTTCCCAGAGGTTGGGACGCGGACGAGGTTGGGACTCACCGGAAGATCACCAACCGTTAGGTGGCAGGCTAGCCAACCTCCACTTGGTGACGCCGGCCTCGGCCAACCTTCCGTTCATGTCGATACTGGCATTGACTTGAACGTGGAATCCGGCGGCGGCGGCGGCGGCGACGGACATGGCATGCTTGGCATTGACTTGAATGTTGAACTTGATGCAGTCGACGCCGGAGTTGATGCTGAAAATGTTGAAGGAAACGACGAGGAACATCCAACTCCAGCTGGTATGCATGCTTGTACTGGTTCATGCATACATGTGTGCTATGCATTGTGGATCATGCATGCTTGCACTGATCGCATACATGCGTACTGCTTCATGGATTCTGGATCATGCATGCTTGTACTGGTTCATGCATACATGTGTGCTGGTTCATGAATGCTTATAGTGGTCATGTATACTGGATCATGCATGCTTGTACTGCTTCATGCATACTGTACAGGTTCCTGCATGATTGTTCATATAGTTAGCAATGTAATAAATCCATGACGCCACTTATTTGCAAATGAAGGCAAGAAAAAGAGAAGGCAGTACAAAAATGGGCGTCTGGCCTAGCAACAACTCGATTTGCTGTATTGCTGCCTTTGCCTCCTTCAATAGAGTCAGCACCTTCCTCCTCACCTCTCCCTCAACTCCGCCGGCCATGAAGACCGCCGCCTCCACCACAGCTCTCGGCCACGATCTATTGGACGGCTCCTGTCGTGAGGTGGAGAAGATCGATGAGAGAGGGAGAGGAAGCGTTGTGGGAGGCGGGGGTCAGCAAGGGAGGTGGGGATCGATGGGGATCAGCGAGGAAGAAGGGAGATCGGCGGGGATCAGCGAGGCGGGGAAGGAGGTGGGGAAAGAAGCGACAAGAAAGAGATAAGGGAGAGAGAGGCGAGCGATGCGGTGGGCTGGGTGGGGCGCTGGCTGTTCGATTTGGTGGGGGGCATTTTCGTCTAAAATCGCTGGAGGAGGGAGATACTCACTAGATTGTGGAATTTCTCTCAAAAACTTATACGCACTATAAAACGGAATGGAGGGAGTATCCTCCATTCAATCTTCGTATATCTAGTTGTGACGCAACTCCTTTAGATGCTCTTTGCACCTAGACGAAGGGAGTAGCACTATTTGCAGAAGGTCAGAACCACAAACTACACTTTCTTTTTCTTTTTGAAAAACTTGCAAATTTAAATTTTGAGACGTGCTAGCTATCATGATATCGTGTGAAGTGCGGTATCGACCCCTGTCACCACCTAAAAACCTACACGCAGGCTATATAGCCTACGAGATGCTTTGGTTGCCTACCCTGAGCATGAGGCCCTGACGCGACCACTCCATGCGCCGCTTGTCATCTTCTTGAACGCCCCCAAATGCCCAACTGAGGCATGGCAGTGGGAGCGGCCATTACTACGCGCTCCGTTGATGGCAAAGTGGCCTCGAATTCAACCCGCACGCCGCTTCAGTCCAACCCCGCGCCACCACCATCTTGATGAGCGGACGCATGTGCTTAAAGCCATATCCACTCCACTCCATTTCTCCCTCCCCACATCAAACTCTCTCCACTCCACCGCTGCGTGCTCCTGATCGCCACCACCAGCACTATGCTTCCCGGCAGCGCCAACGGTCCCGCTGCCTCCGTCGCCGCCTCGTTGCAAATGGCGCCTACGGACGCGTCGGCGTCGGAGTGGGACAATGACTCGGGCCGCCCGGCCTTCCTCAACGTGTTTCTGCCCACCAGTGTCCCAGTGCCGGCGACGGCGATCCGCGCGACCACTCCGGAGCGGGAGCGTCGGACGACCCGCCCGGCCTTCATCAACGTGTTCATGCCCCCGGCGCCCCCTCTCCCAGAGATGACCATGGCCGATCTGCAGCGACGCTTGAAGGACCCCTCGGTGGAGATCATCACGCACCCGCCGCCCAGGAACCAGTTCCGCTTCCGGGCGGACTACCTCGCCCACGTCGCCCTGCTCGACTACCCCAAGGAGCAGCGCCACGAGGAGGGCATTAACCGCAGCTGCGGCGGCTTCGGGTTCGTGGTGGAGACCGACCCCGCCTGCTTCGCGGCGCCTGACCTGGCCCCGGTCCACCTCGTCGTCAACCTCGTGCATCCCCGGAACATCCCCCGCGAGGTCCGCATCAGGTACGGCGATCATCGGTTCCGCAACGTCGTGCCTGTCCAGATCATGAGGGTTTGGGACAAGTCCCTGTCCACCGGCGCTGACGGAGAGTACGTGCCTATGTTCGAGGCCGCGGCGGCGGCCTCCTAGCTGCCTTCGCTTTGGCTGTTAGCTGGTCTGGGTGAGACCTTGAGGCTGCAGGGGCTTGATGCTCCTTTGGTTCGTAAAGTCTCCATGGATCTCGATCACAGACTAGCTAGCTTGTGCTGTGTGTTGCTGCGATAAGCGCAGCTAGCAACTCTATATGCATGTTAGTTCTTCATCTTGCCGATGTGATGGTGTTCGTTCAAGTTCGTCTCTTGTCTGTCAAGCATGTTTGGGTGATGGTCAGTGTTTGAAGTAGCTTGTCAGGGGCTTAATTTGTAATCTTGGTGGACCGAAGAGGTCAAGTCAAATGAGCGACCAAACAATGCACTGGCTTATCTTCTTAATCTTGTTTCATGGGAGATTGGAATGAGGAATCCTCGACTTTTCTGCAATTTTGCATCTTTGCCTACAGCTTTATTTGGCAATATAAAGAGAGAGGGGCTAGGTTGTGATGTACTCTCTCGATCCCAAAATTCTTGTCTTACATTTGTCTACATGGATATATCTAATACTAAAACATGATTTAATACATTCGTATTTAAACAAATCTAAGATAAGAATTTTGGGACGGAGGGAGTATCATTGGGCCGAAACATTCAGAGGCAATCGTTTGTTTGCTCCATTTGAATTTGACCTTGTACATGCTCTCTACTCCATGCTCATTTAATGAAAAGACAAAACTTTAGCATTGCTTCAGCAACAAAAAGTTTTTTTTAAAGTCAATTACACCGGTGGTGCTAGAACTTGGCGTAAATGGTCACTGTGGTGCTAGAAGTTGCGGTGTACATCAAAGTTGCGGTGCACATCGAAGTGGTGCAAAAATTTAGCTTGGGCGTATAAATATAGTGCATATCCCATTTTGTATACATAATCTATGCTAACTAGGCACGTGGGGTCCGTTGTCTGCAAGTGAACGAGGAAGAATGTTTTTCTTGAAAACCCCCTAAAAACATAATTTTGACGAAAAGACCATATGGATGTGGCATTTTACTTCTCTATTCCCAGTGGGTCCCGCCTGTAGATATTAACAGAAAAAGATTTTAGGCAGGTTTCGAACCCGCGACCCTGGCTAACCACACCACCGTAAGCGTTGATTAGTGTTTTTTGAGACACTCCTAAGCCTTGATTAGTAAACAATGATAACGACAGAGTAAATATTTAGCAATGACGCTTATGGAGCTGCAGATATTGCAGCCCATTTTGCACAAGCTATATTTATAAGATATTTTAAAATGTAAGTAATAAAAATTATGTTCCAATATTTGTGTGTTATCAATACTATGTAAATAAAAACAATGACATATATACCCATGTATATGTAAAATATTAAGTTAATACGGATATTAAAATGTATATTAAATACAATGTTTAATGAATACAAAAAAGTATATACTCATGGCTTATATTTAAATTTTAAAATGATGAATGTAAACATTTACTTAATACAAACAATTTTGACCGGCGGGCCCGTTGATTAAAGATGTAATGACATGTCGATATGTACTTTTTTGCAAAAAGATATATTTTGAGGGGGTTTTCAAAAAAATGCAGGCCATACGCCAGGTCCAGTGGCTAACAGCGGGACCCACATGCCTAGTCAGCGCAGATTTCGTATACCAACACGATTAACACTGTATTTGCACGTCTGAGCCAAGTTTTTGCATCATGTACACCGCAACTTGTAGCACCAAAGTGACCGTTTGCGTCAAGTTCTAGCACCACCAACGTAATTGACTCTCTTTTTTATAAAAGGAGGATTACCCTTGGCCAGGAATAAAAATATGGCACCCTAATAAACCATTATTTTTAGTTCATGAGGCTTATCTTAGAAGTCTAGGACTGCATAGCAAATTTGAGAAATCCATAATCTAGGGTCAAATTTCTCTAATGCTTTAACCCTCGCTAGGTGTTCTGGTTTGTTGGCCCTTGCGTGTGCATTCTGGCATTGCACCCAGTTGATTTCAGATACAAATATTTAATTTACAAATGGTGGTTGTTCGTTTGATGGTATAATTTTCGTAAATTAACATCTGAAACTTTGAAGTGTTTTAGTTATTGCACATTTCTTATTTCTTCAGTTTTACTTGTAAGCTCGACTCCAACAAATAGACTTTCGTGGATTAATGGAACCTTTACTATCTAAAATATGAGATGGTGAGTATATGAGAACATGAAGCATCTCTTCAGGCCAACTCTAATCGGCAACCCCAAACGGGTGTCCGTTTTGTCTGGATTTTATCCGTTTGGGTCGGACAAAGGGGCGTCGTCCGACCTCTTTTGCTGACGCGGTGCCGGTGTGGCCGCTGCATTTGGTCCGGCCCTGGCCGGCTGGCGGCCAAATTTTTACAATTATGAAACATTGCATATAGTTTACAACCAAATATATCACAAATTTTCCACAGTAATAGATATAACATTTGGTCTGCCCCCTACTTGAGCTGCATGCATGTCTCAATTAGCAAATTTCGTTGCTGGAATTTTAGGTTCCAGATTTGGAAACTCGGGTTTGCTGATTCAGGGTTCATGATGTTTCTGAAACTCCAATTAACTTAATGTTGTTTTTATTGTTTGACTGAATTAATTGAATGTCGTTGTTGCTGTTTGACTGGATTAACTGAAATGATGAATTTAGGGTTTTGAATTAATTGAATGTTCATGTCCCGTTTGACTGAATTTTAGGGTTCTGAAAATAGAGTTTCACTTTATCTAGCCCGGTGCCTTCCAATGGTGAATTATTCTAGGGTTAGTTAGTGTACTGATTGATAGTTGTAGTTTACATTGGAATTATTTTGTGCACTGGATGTAACTGACACCACTACTGAAGTTTCAGGGTGTTGTGTAGTGGGTAGATGAGTTAAATTTGGGTTGACTGGTGCAGTGGACAAGTTGACCACAAAAGAAATGAGTCAGTGTACTTACATCATTTTAAGTTATTTGACTGATGTGAGGTGTTAGTAGTTGTGCTCAATTTAATGTTCAAACTGGTTTTGATGTTGTGTTGATTAAAGACTACAAGTGCACCTAATTTGCAATGTTCAGACTTTTTTCAATCAGATCATGGAACTATGGAACATAATGGCTTGAAGGAACTATACTTAGCTAGAAGAAACTCTCTGTTCCATAGTAAACTGACTGAATAAACTCTAGGCCTGTTCTTTGCATTGACACCTAGAGCACACATTTTATCTTCAGTTAACACTACTAAATTCAGTTACACTACTAAAATTCAGTTAAAATGAATTCAGTAAACCCCTGAGCACTACACTACAAGGCTTGCTTACCTTCAACTAATATGATCATCTTACCAAATTTTGACATTTATTTACCTAACTATCTTACAATATTCAAAGGAATTTGCAGTACTTGAGACAACATTAAGAGTCACTTTACATAAAGTTTAGATATTTAGCTAACATAGTTCAACAAGATAGCTAGACAATTTTACATAAAATTTAGACAATCTGAAGGTACCTAACCTCAAACATTTAAACTAATAGATATATAGATATAGGAGTTTCACACACATACACGCATACTTCTTCAGACACAAACACACAATTAAGTTCGAAAAGTAACTGAATTTGTATATTAGTTCAGATCTTCATGCATAAGCTGATTACACCATCTGTAAGACCTAGGTGACGCATCAAACTCACTTTTGCTAAAGCTTCTGAAGACGCAGTGATCGACGAACTGGCCCCTGGATGCAGAGTTGCTGCTTCTTCTTCCTCCCGTTACCTATGCCAGTCTCCACCTTCCGTGTCCGCTACTGTTGCTCCATTTACGGTGGCTCCATCTCCATCAGAGCGAGGGGCAGCACTGGCACCACCCTCTCGACCTCGTAGTCCACCGAACGGAGTTGCTCGCGGTTTTGGTACATGTACCAGCGGGACCGCTAGAACGGATCTGGAGAATCCCTAGCCTCCTCCATCACCCGGACCAAGTTTTCGATGAGTGGGCGGTGGAGGTCTGGAAATCGTGTCTCCCCTCCGCCATGGCGCACGCCCTCACTGGGCGTGCATGATTCTGTAGGATTGCAACATCGATGTACCAGGTGCTAACCTCATGCGCGTAGGAGAGCTTCTTGTTGTCACCGATAAAGATCCTGCAGCCTGGTCCCATCCGAGGCCAAACACCATTGGCGCCATGGAGGTTTTCTTGTGGTGGTGGTGGTTTCTGTGGAAGTTTCATGGAGAAGCTGGTGGTTATCTGTGCGAGAGTGAATGAATGCAATGGAGTGACTGACAATGCTGGAGATTTTTGGAAGTTGAAACCGAACAGGCGACAGTGTGTATGATCGAACGAACGCGCCGACCCAGTTGACGAGCAAGCCCAGTTAACAAGTGAACTGCAGGCCCGAGCCAGCTGCTTCGTACCGAGTGCTAAAAGAAAACGGGCTTGCTAAAAATCAGTCGACTGAGATTTAACCAAGTCTCAGTCGACCATGCAACATTTTTTCTCAACGGTTGTAACTTTTTTTTATACCGATTGCAACATTTGTCTTGTTGGTTGTAGCATGTTGTCCCTCATCGATTGTAGCATATCGTCTCACCGGTTGTAACATTTGTCATTGACGGTTTTAGCATTTTAATCACATAGGCTGCAGCACCAATTTTCATTGCTTGTAAAACCATTGCAACATTTTTCATCATCGGTTGTAGCATCTAGCCGTGCCGCTTGCAGCAAAAAAACTATGCTGACGTCACTTGACTGAGACTTGGTTAAGTCTCAGTCGACTGAGTTCTAGACAGACCCAAAAGAAAATTGGCGGCTGTTAACAACGCGCCGTCACCGCTGTCTGCTTGGTCAGGATTAGCCACGTCAAAACAAGATCCATTTCTTACTAAATATTTTTATTTCGATTCGGTACATGATGCAAAATGTTTGTTCATAAAGTGATGGTTTTTCGCTAATCGTGATATACTCCAAACAATGGAGTATGCTTCTGCGGATTTAACTCACCAAACAGTGCTAAAGTATAACACAAACGGCTGCGTTGCAGC